TATCCAATTTTTCAAGTTTGAATCAAATACAAGAAGTAGATTTTCTGTAACTCACTGCCAAAAATGCACGGGAATTCTTATACTATTACGGGTGAGCGTATAGCCTTATGGTTCAGGGTGAATAGAAAAGGAAAGCCATAAATTTTAATTGGGAAAAAAAATGTAGACCTTTGTCTAAAGTCTAAAGAAATTCCTATTCAGCAACCATGTTTTATACCATTTCCTTCCTAGTTTTTAAGTTCATTTTTTTTTAAATTACACACTGCAGCCGTTGCAAGAATGAACTCTTCGTCCAAATGTTCCATCTTGGCAACAATGCACGTTTGGGTGGTCTTCCTTCACATCTGTGTAAAACGAACTGAACGTGTAAACGCCAGATTTTCGTTCAGTTTATCTGCACAGATCTGGCTTGGGCAAGCCAAATCGTTCAGATGGCTTGAGCGTGTAAACGGGCTTTTAGGCTATTGATTTCAGAGTTTTATCGAACAAAAACTTATAGTTTTATTATCGGTTACAAGGTGTTCCCGTCTGTTATTTTAAGTTGATTCAACTGAACATGTTCATATAGTTTTTGTTCCCAATGAATAAGATGTTTAAAAACATGAGCAAAAATATCATTGCTATTATGAAACTTCGTTCATCCTGTATTTTTTGCAAGTTTTATGCAGGTTTAAGTGGCCACTAATTATATGTAAGTACATTTGAAATTTCAATTGACTGATTCGATCCGGTGTAATTATTAAAATGTTCATAAATGTCAGCCTACTAATAAATTAAACTTGTCGGCTTGATTTGTACTGTTTGAATAAAAAAATCAATGCATTTATTCTAATTGAGATAGTTCGTAAATGTTTTGTGTAGCTGTGAACAAACTATAGAAAGGTTTCAATTTTTTCCCAGTTTCTGATCTTATTTCTTCCTTCTGTACCCTTTTATATTTAGAACCAAAACAGCACATGTTTTCAAAAGTAATACGTCTGTACATTAGCTCAAATAGTTTGAAAAGAAAAATCCTACGGATGACTTGTATCTCAGTTCTCAGTATAGGAATACGCGAATTCTTTTAAAAAATATTAAAATCTATATAAACAAATAAGAAAAATTAAAATATAACAAAAGTTATGAAAATATTTGCACAAAGAATAATGAAAGACTTTTCAAAATGCTAATTGATAGTAGTTTAAATTTGTGAACGTCGATATGTGTTGCAAAAATTTGTTTTGTGATATGACAAATCATAACGCAAGTAACATATTTTCTCGCTTAACCAGAATATGCAATAATGTAGCGTGTGTTGTATTTGTGGAATCTATATTTGGATCACCTTATTCGCCAGCAAAATCTGTTCATTAAAAGTAAAAACCATAAATGTTTTATTGAATTGTCTGAATTAGAAGAAAACCTGTTATACTACTTTAATTAGATTAATTAATGCTTATTTTCACCCTTAAAATGTTCAACATCCTAGTTCAATACATCTTAACATATTGTTCAAAATTATTACAAATAAGTTGCTCACTAATTGTGAGTGTTTTATGATAAAAAAATTGTTTGTTATTAAGATTCATAGAGAATAGAGAGCAATATTCTTGAGACTGTCGGTTGCACCAATGAAATGCTCTCTCATTATTTTCAATTGCTTCAATACCTTTCGATGTATTTAATTTCATATAGAGTATAATAAATTAATTTCTTCTAAAATGCGAATAAAATTGTTTGCCTTTAACCCTGTATTAAAGCAATTATGAGACGTTTCAAAGTCACTGGGGGCTGCCCTTAAACGCTGAACCATCTGAAACCATTTCTTCATATGTGATGCCTGTGTAGTATAAACGGATTAGAAGATATCCTGTTACAAAAGTACCGCTTTTAGGCCGATGTCCATCCACTTTATGGCGGCTGACATGCCTATATGTTGGCGTAAGTGCGGCAGTTTAGTGTCAAGCTTTTTTTGTTTGAATATGTTGCGGTATAATTTATCTTCGAATTGTGATGGGGATTTGATTTTTATAGTACACCGGAAACATCGGATGTAGCACTTTCTTATACAAACATAAATTTTTATAATAACAGCATTGCATGTTTTTTTATCTTATTGAAAATTATATGAAATGTATTTTATGACTATTTGGCAAAAAACAGAACCATCAATCTGATTTTTTGCTAATTATTAAAGTTGAAAATAAGCATAATCATGCATGTAAAAGTACTTTTGCTGGAAATTAAAGTCTTGTAAGAAGCTCCAAATAGTTGGACTGGCGCCTGTTAACGATAATTATTAAATTATCTTTACCTACCTATTAATGATATAAGTTATTGATCAAGGTAATAAAACTCATTTTCTGCTGATTTTGCAATATGGTGATTTTTTCTGAAAGCAGCATTTTTATTTTAGATAAAAACAACTTGAATTATTTAATTTTTCATAAAAAACAGTAAACAATATCAATTCATCTTCTGAATCACTTCAAAGCTTAGACAAGTAACAGCATTTGGGGTAAACATTTAAAATTCTAGATAACGATAGAAAAATCTTGTGTTAGAATTCCAAAACGCATTTTCGGTGTATCAGTGCGTTTTAAACTATATTGACTCTCTTTTGGTAATGATGGAAAGACTGCTGGAATGTCTTAAAAAATCTTTACAAATCACTCCTAGTCTGCACCGGTCTACGCATCGATGGGGATGATTCGATACAAGTAAATACAAGTAGGTATTCGATACTTGTTTCGATGCCGAGTACTTTTGAATTTTTGAAGGACTTGAATTTTTCATCACGCATTAAAATTCTTGTTTAAATCTGATTCTGTTGAAATTTTCAATAAAATCTAACTAAATTCTGGCTCTTTCTTTAAGAAAAAACACTTAATGCCTTTAGGTTGAGCTCAGTTTCAACTCAAAAATATTGTTTTAGTTTAGACTGCCACAATGTGCATGCTGGTTTAATTAATTAGACTCAACTCTCTTAAACAAACTATCTCAACAAATACTTAATAATACATAAATCTGACTCTGTTCTATTTTACAGCTCTAAGCAACGCCCAGAAAATTTAGGGAGAAATATTCTCATGTTCTGATGAATATCAGATAAAAAAGCAAAAGTGTCTGGCGATTTATCTGCTACTTATTTGCTGCTTCCAGTTTATATCATCAAGACTCACTGAACTCTAGGACAATCTTCATGTTAGCAAATTCTGGACAACAAAATTTTAAACTTTAAAATCAATTATGTACCTAAACTCTGTCAGGACAAATTATCTATTTTGGGCTTTTGCTATCGACAATAAAATACACGTTCCAGACGAAATCTAATTAAATAATCAATTTGAACTGAACTTGAAACTGCAGCAGGGAATTTTTATGCCACACTTGACTTTATTGCACTTTTAACGTCACGAACATTTAGATTTACGACTTCATTTTGTGTTTTATTACTTTTCTGCGATTATTCACGTTAAATGATTACCTCAACACAAATTATGTTTATGGTGTACTTCGGATAAGATTACATTCGAATTTACCGAATGGTAGTCAAGTGGCCACTTTAGATTTTTTCATACTCTCAAGACGTTGGTAATGAGTGTTACCACCCGTGTGATCAGATTCCTAATTTTTTTTCAGATTGCTTTGTTTCATATTTCAATATTGTCAAAGGAAAGTTTTAGCGGTCGGTTTAGAAGTGGCTTAGAAAATCACTTGTAATAATATCCAATTAAATTTGACAATTTTTAAACACAGATATTTGAATGAGTAGTATATACAGGGTGATTCACTAACAATTCAAAATTCTTAATCCGTAAAATAACCGGCAACATTACAATTAACGTGCCCTAGCCGAAAATGGATAATTTCGAAAATTAAGGGTGTTGAAAGTACATTTTTTATTCATTATTTAAAAAACCACTTTGCAAATTTAAACTTAATGTTATACAGCGTGATATATCGAAAATTCTGAGAAGAGCTGCAGAAATCCGAGCTCAAGGTATTGAACTTAAGATTTGATGATTTTGGAACCACAGTGAAGAATACAATTTTTTTAATAAGCCAATGTTTTAAGGTTAAAAACCGTGAAGAAACGGATAACTGTTTAGACAGCCACAACTTTTAAATGTTGTGAAGTTATACGAGGAAACTCAAATTAAAAAAGATTGGTATGGAAAAGGAAAATATAGTTTTCGATGATTAAATAACTTGAAAGCTTTATTTTTTCAAATATCTGACTTTAAAATTACCATCTTCAAATTTCACAATAATGTAACAGGCATTAAAATTGACGTTTATTAGTTTCTTATTCCGATCTAAAATAATATTTCTAATACTTGTTGGTCCTGTTGGTGATAAAACCTTCAGTTAACATATTTTACATCACTAAAAATTTCCATTATAATTTTGAAACAACTTTCGTTCAAATCGATTTATTAACAAACCAAATGTGTGAATTATTTTACATAAGAGCCATTTTTATTGCAAACATTCGAGTGTTCAATTTGTAACAAATTTTCAGTCCTTGTTGTATCTCGGCCCACTGTTTAAAAAGTAGGTAATTCTAATTGTTTAAACTGGAGTGAAATTAACAAAATTTGTTAAAACCCAATTAGGATAATTATTACGGTGTTTCTTACTAAACAATACCACACTTTAGACTAAGAGAAACTTTCAGATTTTATGACAGCTGGAAGGTTTAAGTTGCATTGTTCTAGAATGTTACTTGCGTGACCTTAAAACATACATTATTAGCTGAAAAGTTTTCAAAACTGGACATTTATATTGCGCGTGAAAATAAATTTATTCTAAAGTGGAACCAAATGATTACCATAACTTACTCTATACAATTAAAAGTTTAAGTGAACTCTAAATACAGGAAGTTGGAAATTTTCTATATCCGACAGCGGCTACGTTTCATTTACTACATATTGCAATTAGCAGATAATGGAAAAAATAAATTTAAGCAATATACCCATATTCCCATTTGTTTAACATACAATATGGTACAACTTGTCTTATTTGTCTAACGCATTTAAGCCTTTGGAGCATAAGTACTTCAGTGCCCATTGAAATCGTGTCGGGTTTTAAGAAGTGCCTTCTTAAGAGCTGTTAATTTCTAATTCAAGAATCGACAAGAAACATGTAAAAGGAGTTGTAATGCTTTTAGAGTGATGCTCTCGAGGACCGCTGACGGACCAGACCCAGGCCCACCTGACTACATTTTGACAGCATCTTTGCCAACGCCCACGAGTCTGATGACCTTTGTTATGGTGTCATATCAGCTTAATTTTTTTTCTTTAAACAAAATACTTGGGATGAACTGCCATAATATGCTAATTGAAAAGGTCTTTGACTCATTTTTCTTGCTTCAGCTTGAGTTGAAAATGAATTTTTCAATTTTATTTTAGTGTCTGTTTCATCCATTAAAAAGCGAAATCCAATCCGAAAATATTGTAAAGACTTGAATTGTTGAAAATTAAAATTTTAGTTCTCAACAAGAGTAGAGAAGATTTGGGTACCATTATAGTACCATGATCTCACAAATAAACAAACATTGACATAAAGACAATAACCGGTAGTTCCATGGTTTACTTGAGATTAGCGAGTTACTAGTTGGAATTGTTAATTTTTGGTATGCGCAAGTAAAATTTTTATATTTTGATAGCCTTTGTATAATCACTACATTTGCATGTTTTCCAGAAACATTTGGAACATGTTGCAATTGTACCCCAGTAGATTATTATTTTATTGATATTTTTCAAAGTCAATCAAAAGTTCAAGAGTTACGTGGATTCAGTCTAACAAATGTGGCACACAAAAAATGTGCTCATGCATTTCGTTTCGAATGGTTCTAGCCGACGAAATCCATTAATTATGTAGTGGTTTTACTTTTATGAAACCAAGACTTTTTGATTCGCATACGTATTATATTGCTTTTAAATTGTTTCCTTAAAATGAAGATTTTTGAGGTAATATAAAGATACATTGTTACATTTGTCTCTCGTATTTGTTACAGCTGTCCCATGAATGGGTACGTTTCTCTGTAACACTTTGTATTAACTGTATGTTCATTTTATTTTGTTTCTAATTTATAAAACTTTGAATATTTTATAAGGTAAGAGTGTAATTGATTGCCTAAACTACATAGTAGCACTTTATTTCACCCATAGCTTTCAAATCACCTTTGCAAAAAATCACAAGTAAAAAAATTTCCTTACTCTCCCTTACTGGTAGTAATTGACAATCCACAAAATGCTCATTAATAGTGTATTTATTGGCAATTTAGTATATAATGCGCGGTTCATTATGAAATGATTATTTAGAACAATTTTCTAACTCAACAAAATATGACTTTCATTGAACATTGAAGAGCAAGTCTCTACAAAAAAACTAAGCAATTAAGCATACAAAAAACGGTTAAGCAGTATGATCGCAAAAGAAGTAAAACAGCAATATTAACAGTAAGAAACAGTGGCTAAAAAAACCGAGGAGTTGAAGAAAGAAAGTGTAAAAAGGTAAAGTAGAATAGATGCAGTGAAAAAATATTCTCAAAAGTTACTGTTGTCGAAAACTGACGTAAATTTTAAATTCCGCTTCAGCTTCGGTTGAAAATATTGATTGATATTGAAAAGTCGTCTAGTAAGTAGTCGTATTTTTTTACACATATTTAATGCATATTTAAATATTGATCTATTTGTTAAACATGATACAAAGGCGTAACTTCGGTCGATTACTATAACTTTTTTAAATTTTTTGATTAGAACGCTAAATACCCCTTTGGTCCTCGCCCTTTTTTATAGTAATAAAGCTTCTGTGTGATAATTGTTAAATGTCTGTTGCTCATAAAATTAACCATTAAACAAACAGTGATGTTTACGATTTTGTCCAGGTTTACGTGGCGGTTAATCGGGTGAGTAATTGTTAAAAGTTTCCTTCTGATTGACTCATATTAAGTTGCAAATTGGTAGGTTTTACCACCAACATAACGCCATCGTTCAGCGTATTTGTTGCATAATTATCCAGTGGTTATTTTGCAAACGCAAAACAATATATTATAATTTATCAATTTAAGCGTCGGATTGATCATCAATTGAAATACAGTCGTTCTTTAGTGTGATCAATTCACCTGGGATATTTAGTATAAACTGTTCATGGCTGAAATAAACAAAGCCTTTCCCTTACCTAAAGCAAAGGCGGCAATATTGCTAATTATGTGAAATCGTCAACGACCAATCAAATCCAACGTGGAGAGGCTGTATAGCAGCACTGATTGGTCCAATGTAAACTAGAAAATTACCTGATTCTTTATTATTAAAGCATGATTACATCTCGAATATGGCAATAGTCTTGTTAGTCAATATGGGATATAATTCATTAATCATGGTGTGATGTTTATTTTTTGCTGTATTTTTATGTACACATCAGTTATATGAATGTCACAAGTATTAAATGGTTTGCTCCTGTTTCAAATAAAGCCCATCATTGTTATAATAGTTGCTCAAAAAATCCATCTAAAAACGCCACAGCGAATATTGGTAACTAGAGTATATTATTGATTAATAATATTTAACAGAAGATGAATAGTTTACTGGTAAATTGATAAAGTTGCACTTTATTATTGAATTAAGGAAACCATTCATTCATAAAGAGCAAAAGGTGGCAAAAATGTGGCTCTTTAACACCTTTTGAAACCTAAATGTATTGAAATAATTCCAGCATTTTTGCTCGACTTGTCTTGGAATGTGCAATAGGTTTTATGTTCCGTATTCTCCAGTTCTCTGTGTAGCATGATTGAAAATAATGCTCAACTGCGACTGTTATTTGAAGAAATTTTCCATCCCATTCGGATCAAAAGGTTCCAGAAACTGATTTATGGCTGTCTCTCATTTCAAAATTTCTCAATTAAATAAACGAAAAAACCTTCCAGTTCATAAAAAGACCGATTTCCTGTCCCTGGATTGGTATCAATTAAGATTGCAGCAAAGCTAATTTCCACGGTCGCTTTATTAAAACATGCCACGACTCGTGTCCAGCCCAAGAATTTAATGGTCTCTAACCTGACTTAATAAATTTAAATTTGGATCATTTCCATGTTGCATCTCAATCTGTCATCTCAAATGTCTGGCGACATCCTATTTAATGCTCTTGAGTATTTTTTCCCTTATTTTGTTCATTTGGAATAGTTGGAATTTTGATCAGATCTTCAAGCTTTTTAGGAGAACTGTTATTTCACGAAACCTTTATAAAAATGTATTAATTATTATTATTGGTTGTTTCCTGATTAATGATGTTTTAAACTTGGTTTTATATATACAGTATTTTTTTATTTTAATTGGCTTATTTTTGTATCGTTAGTCGTGGCATCAAGAAAATGATGTTGCAGTTAAATAAATCTCAGTAATGCAAGTGACTGTTTCTTTCTCAACTACTTGTAACTGCTTGAAACTGGCGAGTTTTTCGAGCTTTTAGACCGTCGTAGAAAAGAATTTCTGTGTGACGGTTTGCAAGCACTAGCAACTTGCATCTTCAGAAGTGTTTTGGCATGAAAGTTTTCACTGATGGATGGAGCGTCGGTTAAGCAACTTTCCACTTGACTTTAAACAAACTTCTGGTACAAATGGTATATTTATTTTATAAACATTATCGTGACTACATCTCCAAAATTAATTAATTAAGTATATTTATTTTATTTATTTATTATTATATACGAGTACATATATATAAACTTTTGAAAAGTGAGTGCAAGCAAAAGAACAAAATAGCACCACAAACACTTTCTTGCGATCGTTTATCAACAATACAATCTACTGAAGATGCAATTTCACCTTTAGTAATTTTATTTTTCAATGTACAAATATAAAGAATTTGAAGAAATATATTAGTGAAATCTTGCTATGGCGGCATTCATTATCCTTATTGGTAAAACAATAACAATTCATGTCGGTTATAATATCATCCCAAAAGACTTACTTATCTGTATACAAAAATAACAGAGTAACAAGAATTTCAGGAGAAGCTTAGCAAGCAAAAGCAACGTTTTAATTAGAGAGATTATTCAGTTTTATAGATTAAGTAAAATCAAAATTAAAGATTGCTATTGAAAGAAAATTGAAAAATTGAAAACATTATTTTTTTTATCGGAAACAAGTTTCCAGTAATACATCTCCTATCTAGTAAGCAATTAAACGGCGTCGAGAAACTTTTTAATCTTAAAAGATCTTAATTAATTCAGTATAGCCACTAAACACACATTCTATAAAAATACACAAACTGGACCAGTGGTTCGCATTATAAATTTTTATAAACATTTTTAAATTTTTTTGTTGTTTAGCTAACTACATATTAAAATATATTAATCCTACCAAGCTTCACGGAAGTTTAGATGTTGTTGGTTTATTCACTACTATAGCTGGATAAAAGCTAAATTAAAATATGGATTTGTTGTTTATATTGAAAAAATTACTAATTATGAATTCGTAAGCAAAGACGTGAAATAATTGGCTCGCAAAATATTCAAATAAAATATTTAATAAATTAATGTTCCATGTCTATTTCTTTCAAAGCGGAGGAAATCCTCAAGTACAAAAGAATAATGCATAAACAAAAAAAATTGACCAGCGTTTTGCAAATACATAATTCCTTTTAAGTATAATGTGTATAACTGATACCATGAACAGCAATTCAAAAATAGATTTTCTCCAACTAATTATTGATTTGATTGATCCAGAAGATAGAAAGCTACTTAAAGTTAACTTATTTTCTGGATACCGTTGAGTTACATTTACATTCGAAGTTGAACGAGACTTTCCGAGAATTTGCCAGAAAATATCATTCACAGCTGAACTTGATATTATCTTGCTAAACAGGTTAATATCATTATACTAATAAGGGGACGAAGAGTTGAGTTACATGGCATTTTGACGCCATTGATTGGCAGGTTTTTACCTACTTGTCTGAAATTCGTAATGGATTTCAAAATGCTATAGAACTTAATACGGGTGCCTGATCCATGTAACACATGGGGGGTGAAGTAGGTTCCATTTGGTTAATTTAAAAGATCAACTAAAATTTTATGGGGTTTCTAGTTTTCCTAAAGCAAACTGTTGTTTATACAGGGTGTCCCAAAATTATGTGGGCAAACTGAAACATTGAAATCTGCTCTCAACAATCATATTAATTTTTCAAATAATTATGTGTCGAAAAATATTTCCAACGGAGGCCCTTCTTGAAGACGGGCCCAGTAGCAGGGTTTTTTGCAAATTATTTCTAAACGGTTGAATTTCAAAACCTAAGTTGTAGAAACTTTAGTAATTTTGATATGCTGAATCTCGATCTGAAATTAAAACTCAAATTGAATTGGTTGAATTTCATCATAGACGTATTATTTGGGGCGCTACAAGTACAAAAAAAGCTCTAACCTTTTTTTTTTATTATAGATCAATCTTTTGTGGACAAATTGTGGAAATATGAAGTATTTTACGAAGAAAATGCACGCTTAATTTACTTCGCTCAGACGCACCGTTTGCCAACTAAATGACTTTAAAAATATCACTGTTTTATAAAAATATTTCCAATATCTCTAAATCTATTGTAAACATTTTTACTTTTACCTAGTATGTAGTAAAACTAGTGAATGTCTTCTTTTAGGTCTTTGGATTCTTTTAGGTCTTTGCTGTCTTCGAACCTCAAGCTTCAATTATGAGTTTGTATGAATTTTAAATCTCATGATGGCGCTGTTGTCTCGTCGAAACGTTATGAAATAACCGATATGAAAAAAGTATTTTACACTTTGAAATCCAAGCAGGAAAAGAATATAATAACAATTACACGCAGTCAGGATAATAAATGAAAATAAAGTTGGATTCTAAGCTACCAACATGATTTAAAAAGCATTTTATGGTTGGATCAACCTTTTCAAGAGGCATTCAACAGTCATAATACTCACTTTTGGAGCTTCGAGAATCCGAGAGTGGTTCGAAGGGCAAACTTCCAATATAGGTTCTCTTTCAATGTATTTCAATGTATGGGCGGGATTTTGTACAGGATAAATGGAAGCTAAATGTCGTTCTCCTGTGAACTACAGGTTTTGTGTCGTGTACTGTATTTTCTATGAACTATTGCGGTTTTCCTGTTTTCAATTACACCCTGAACTAAACGGTTCTTGTATTATATCGAATTGCTCAACTTTTCTCTATTTTCTCGCTCAGTTTTTTAATATTAATTATTAAATAGTCAGATTTCTTTATTATGCAAACTTGTGGTGTTCTGTTGCGAACACACCTTTAATTATCTTCGAAGCTAAGATATCAATTATTAGTGTTTTTCTGCTGTAAATTAAAATGTTTGCTGCTGTTAAAGTTAATAATACCCCAGAATCCAGACTAAAGTGTCTTCAGGTATGTGAATCATATTTATTATTTATATTTATAAGAGGTCGCAAGTGGTCCTGGCCTACCAGGTTAGATTTCGCGGTATTTTTCAAAAGTTAAGACATTAAAAAATGATTTTTGCCAAACGATTCGTATTAGGGAATTTCAGTTGCCAGGATCCATCCGACTATTCCTGGTTTTTGCCGTCCCCCGCCCTTTAAGCTGTAAGTGGTCCAGATCAAGATTTATTTAATTATTTATTTATGCATTATTCAATATACCGTAACATTGTAGGTATACATAATATGAGTATAACAGCATCTAGATGATTGAACATCCATACGTGCTTATTATTCATTAATTGTAAATATTTACCAGATTATTATACCAGATTTGCAGGTATTTTTCTAAGTTTATACTAAGGGGCCCAGTAGTAGGGTTTTTTTGCAAAGTATTTCTTAACGGTTGTACTTCCAAACGTAAATTTTAGGAACTTTGATAATTTTGAAATGCTGAATCTGGATCTAAAATTAAAACTGTCAGAATTTCAGCAGATTTCACTGTTTCAGTTTGGTCACCTAATTTCAGGACACCATGTATAAGTCACTAGCATATAAAGTCGATCTGCATATGAATCTAGTTGTTAAAAATAAGTCTCCTGATTTTGCGGTTTTTTTTGTGTGTTTTCTAATGAATCATTTACTTTGTCAGTAAAAGAAACTTCCGATTTTCTTTGGCAATAAAGCATCTTTTGATTTGATTTTGATTAGAAGACTAGGAGTAATGTAAACGGTAAAATATTAAATGCCCTAAATTTTATTCTCAATAGCATATGTATCTTGAACAGGATGCGAATAATCGAATGTTTCTAAATAATTAAGACAATACTCATATCTAGTATTGAATAATTGATACGATAATTTGAATTATTTAGAGAATTTAAATATAGCAATGCAATTGAGACACGTAGATGTACCTACTGTGAGTCGAATGAATGAAATTAATTTTCTTATTCCAAAATAAATTATTAAAAGTAATAATAATAATTATAATTATAATTAAATAAAGCCCGATTCGTTAATCCTAATCGGATATTAATAATTATTTTATATTCATTTCATTAA